CAACATATAGGGGTATGCATAGAGTGCTACAACTGACAATTATGGGTATGCATAGAAATGTGCAGCTGACAACATATAGGGGTATTGCATAGAGTGCTACAACTGACAATTATGGGTATTGCATGGAGTGCTACAGCTGACAATTATGGGTATTGCATAGAATTGTGCAGCTGACAACATATAGGGGTATTGCATAGAGTACTACAGCTGACAATTATGGGTAGTGCATAGAATGCTACAGCTGACAATTATGGGTATTGCATAGAGTGCTGCAGCTGACAATTATGGGTATTGCATAGAATGCTGCAGCTGACAACATATAGGGGTATTGCATAGAGTACTACAGCTGACAATTATGGGTAGTGCATAGAATGCTACAGCTGACAATTATGGGTATTGCATAAAATGCTGCAGCTGACAATTATGGGTATTGCATAGAGTGCTGCAGCTGACAATTATGGGTATTGCATAGAGTGCTACAGCTAACAATTATGGGTATTGCATAGAGTGTTACAGCTGACAATTATGGGTATTGCATAGAGTGCTGCAGCTGACAATTATGGGTATTGCATAGAATGCTGCAGCTGACAACATATAGGGGTATTGCATAGAGTACTACAGCTGACAATTATGGGTAGTGCATAGAATGCTACAGCTGACAATTATGGGTATTGCATAGAATGCTGCAGCTGACAATTATGGGTATTGCATAGAGTGCTGCAGCTGACAATTATGGGTATTGCATAGAGTGCTACAGCTGACAATTATGGGTATTGCATAGAGTGTTACAGCTGACAATTATGGGTATTGCATAGAGTGCTACAGCTGACAATTAAGGGTATTGCATAGAGTGCTGCAGCTGACAATTATTGGTATTGCATAGAGTGCTACAGTTGACAATTATGGGTATTGCATAGAGTGCTGCAGCTGACAATTATGGGTATTGCATAGAGTGCTACAGCTGACAATTATGGGTATTGCATGGAGTGCTACAGCTGACAATTATGGGTATTGCATTGAATGCTGCAGCTGAAAACATATAGGGGTATTGCATAGAGTACTACAGCTGACAATTATGGGTAGTGCATGGAATGCTACAGCTGACAATTATGGGTATTGCATAGAATGCTGCAGCTGACAATTAAGGGTATTGCATAGAATGCTGCAGCTGACAATTAAGGGTATTGCACAGAATGCTGCAGCTGACAATTAAGGGTATTGCATAGAATGCTGCAGCTGACAATTAAGGGTATTGCACAGAATGCTGCAGCTGACAATTATGGGTATTGCATAGAGTGCTACAGCTGACAATTATGGGTATTGCATAGAATGCTGCAGCTGACAACATATAGGGGTATTGCATAGAGTACTACAGCTGACAATTATGGGTAGTGCATAGAATGCTACAGCTGACAATTATGGGTATTGCATAGAATGCTGCAGCTGACAATTATGGGTATTGCATAGAGTGCTGCAGCTGACAATTATGGGTATTGCATAGAGTGCTACAGCTGACAATTATGGGTATTGCATAGAGTGTTACAGCTGACAATTATGGGTATTGCATAGAGTGCTGCAGCTGACAATTATGGGTATTGCATAGAATGCTGCTGCTGACAACATATAGGGGTATTGCATAGAGTACTACAACTGACAATTATGGGTAGTGCATAGAATGCTACAGCTGACAATTATGGGTATTGCATAGAATGCTGCAGCTGACAATTATGGGTATTGCATAGAGTGCTGCAGCTGACAATTATGGGTATTGCATAGAGTGCTACAGCTGACAATTATGGGTATTGCATAGAGTGCTGCAGCTGACAATTATGGGTATTGCATAGAGTGCTACAGCTGACAATTATGGGTATTGCATAGAGTGCCACAGCTGACATTAAGGGTATTGCATAGAATGCTGCAGCTGACAATTATGGTTATTGCATAGAGTGCTGCAGCTGACAATTATTGGTATTACATAGAATTCTGCAGCAGACAATTATGGCTATAGCTGACAATTATGGGTATTGCATAGAGTGCTGCAGCTGACAATTATGGGTATTGCATAGAATGCTGCAGCTGACAACATATAGGGGTATTGCATAGAGTACTACAGCTGACAATTATGGGTAGTGCATAGAATGCTACAGCTGACAATTATGGGTATTGCATAGAATGCTGCAGTTGACAATTATGGGTATTGCATAGAGTGCTGCAGCTGACAATTATGGGTATTGCATAGAGTGCTACAGCTGACAATTATGGGTATTGCATAGAGTGTTACAGCTGACAATTATGGGTATTGCATAGAGTGCTACAGCTGACAATTAAGGGTATTGCATAGAGTGCTGCAGCTGACAATTATTGGTATTGCATAGAGTGCTACAGTTGACAATTATGGGTATTGCATAGAGTGCTGCAGCTGACAATTATGGGTATTGCATAGAATGCTACAGCTGACAATTATGGGTA